CCCCCCCCAGCCACTGCCTCGCAGCTCCTGCAGCCGTGGTCTGAAACCAGGCACCGGTGGTGAAGAGGTTGTCTCGCCCTGGGCATCACCGCCACTAGTGCAGATCCCCTCAGTCAGGCACCCCCAAGTTGGAAGGCGGCTATTTATTGACCCCGGTGCTTTGTGCGTTTGCCTTGGTACGGGGCAGCCAGAACTTCTCCTGCCCGGGGTCTGCAGGCGTCTCACAGCCCCTTTCAAGCCTGGCCTGGCCTATCAGAGGAGCCGCAGGTGGGGAGGAAGGACCCCCCCGCCCCCTCAATGAAATGCAAGGAGGTGAAGTTGCCCTCTGCCTGTCCTTTGCCCAGCCCAGAATCAAATGCTTTCACCCAGTTGTATCTCACTCTATGCCTCCGGCCCTGTTCTATTTATAGATTATTTATTGTTTTCAACTAAATAAAGTGGAAACTGTTACCAGCAAGAGACAGGGCCGGGCCCCTGGTCTCCTGCTTTCTCAGCTCTGCTCATGGCAGGCACCTTCCCAAGTAGCACCACAAACCTGCCTCCAACCCTGTTCCCCCTCAGAGAACATCTGGTCAGAAAGCCAGAGTCTCAAGGTGAGCTTTTTGTGGTTCAGCTTTTCCTTGGGCAAGTCGTTGGAAGATAACCCACACCCCCCGAGGTTCTAGTTGTCTGTTAACTTTATTTTAATTGAAATGAAGGCATAACATGTCCTAGAAAAATAAAGATTTAGGATACAAACTAGACACAGGGGTCAGGGTTGGCCCGAGGGTCAAGGGATCTTTGGTCTGGGGCTGGACGTGCTACTGAGGGCTCTAGTCCAGGAGGAGCTAACGGAGGACCCTGGCCCACAGACCACACAGCCACATCCCTCGTGGGCAGGAAGGGCCCGGCGGGGAGGGTCCATCAGTCTCCAGACACAGGACTGCCCGTCCTCCACCCTCGGATTCCCAAGCAGTTCTGGGAACACTGGATGTCAGTGGAGCTATTAATAGTGTTTCAGGGAGTGATAGGGAGAGGGCTCAAGTGGGTTGGAAATCCAGCCATTCGGCAGGGCTTTCAGCTCACAGCTAGTACCAGGTCGAGGAGGGCACAGCCCCTGAGTCAGGAGCCCCAAATCTCCCCATGTAGATCAGGAGGCAGAGCAAGGAGAGGGCTGTAACAGAGGACGCGTCCCGTCAGAGGACGTTGCCCTGGACAGGAGTGGGCCTCCAGGGAGTGGAGAGGTTGAGCAGCAGCGGGGAGGGTGTAGTGTGTGTGGATGGCAGCCATCTTCGTGTTTGAGAGGCTCCCCCCCCCCCCC